CACCCGATCCTAACTCATTTATCCCAAGTAAGCACTCGATTTCTGAGCAACGTACTAGTCTTCATTTCACAACTGGAACACATAACCAAAATCACACATTAAATGCCAAGCTTTAGCCAGTATTTTTGGCTGCCAATGCGGCAGGTCATAAGGCATGGAATATACCATAGAGGAATAACACCAAACCACTTGCCTTGTATAACTTTACAACGGATTGTTCCATCAGTTGTCACTACCACGCATGTGCCGTTTTGTGTTTGCACGTCAAATAAATTCGGCTGAATGTACACGAACTAAGCGAAAAAAACATAGCGCAACTCAAATATTAGATGCCTTCTCTGATCGACTGGTAGAATTGTGTGCGATTTTCTTACTTACAGTACCTGTGCTAACTCATGAAATGCCGAGGTCAACATTATAGTGGAAAATGTAGCGTATTTTTGGTGTCGTTATTTGTGTTTATTTAGTTGAAATAAGGACGAAAAGACCGCTTTCTGAAGGAAAGTTTGATACGGATCTGTATATTAAATAGAAAACGGGCCGGATTAAGGCGAAATCGGAGGATTCCTGATATTCAAGCAGTTTCCTACGCTATTAAAGCGTTCGGCTGGAAATTCTTTCTGTAACCTTATTAATCTGTTTAAGAAGATTAATAAAAGGACGAAATTTTTTTAATAAACTTTCGAACAAAAAGAAAAAATTAAATTTCAATATCAACAAAATCAGGGAAATGCAGATAAATTATTTCTTATTGTGTTCAGGAAATAACGTGCGATTCTTTATCTAAAAATTCTATTTTACAAATTCGTAAAGTTTTATGTTACAAAATACCGAAATAAAAAAGTTTATCAGTGGGATTGTTTTACCAGACTGAAAATGCGTGTCGTAAACGAATATATATTGAGTTCGCACGACATGCCGTCACTTTGCTCTGCCACGCCAAACGATAACTATGTCTAAACAATACTTATCTGAAGTTGATTTCCAGCGCATTCGAAAATTAGCGGCGGAGATAATCCCGCGTGAGTCGTTAGCTACTATTTTCAATATTAGCAAGGTCACTCTGTGGCGCATTATTAATGATAAAACTGTTCCTAGAAATAAGATATGGGGACCAAAACGATCCACAAGTAAGCAAGACGACGATTTTATTCGTCGTACATTAAAAAAGTTTCATTACATGGCCATTGAGACCATTCAGCGGGAACATCTGCCGATGTTTTCTATGAACATCATTAAAAAAAAGGATGAAGGAATTTGAACTGCAGCGACGGAAGGCCATGATTAAGCCATATTTATGTAGAAAACTAATTAGAGAACGGCTTTTATTTGCTAAGAATTATATTGATTACAGATCTTCATTTTGGAAGAGCATTTTCTTCTGCGATGAGGTTCTATTTTTAGACAAGCCTACAAAATCGCTCCAAACCGTCATATGTGGAAAGAACTTCCCAAGACAACACACTACACCGACGGCAACATTCAAGAACTGTCGGCGGATGATGGTTTGGATGGCGATTAAATTCGGTGAGCGGCCTGTCTGGCGGTCAACATCCGACACCATCAACAGCAAGGTGTTCATTGCAATTGTCAAGGATGCTTTCGGCTACAACGGCATCTGTCGGCGCCGAATGGATACTGTAATTTTGCAGGACAATGCACCTGTCCACCGCTCTAAAGAGGTACGAATTTGATGCCGCTTGCAAATATAATCTAACATTTTAGACAACAACCACGCTCTCCGCAATTGGCCTCCAATCCATTTTCATCCCGGCCAACAGTCCCGATTTGAATCCTATCGAAAATCTTTTCGGAATAGTCAAAAGAAATTGGCACAAAGCTAAGAAGACACTTTCTATGCAGGAAAAATTGGATTTCATACTCAATAATTACATTTTACAATCCACCATAGATAACCTTGTCATGTCTATGTCGGACAGACTTTCTGCTGTTATTAATTCGAATGGACAATCTACAAAGTACTAATTTTTTGTATCTGTTTTTGTCCTTATTTATTTTTGACCTTTTATGCGCCCTCCTCCTTTATACGTCCTCATACGTAGCCTTTATTAACTTGGTTGTAATATAGGCGTTTCTCGAAAATGTGACTTTTGTCAAAAATTATTTATTTTTATCTCAGTAAATAATATTTTCTTAACCAAACTTTGCTTTATTTCTTTGACACATCGTTTATTTTCCGCTATCAGACTTTGGGAGCCGTAGCGTTTACCGATTTTGCGATAAAGTCGTTAACCTGTGTTAATTCGTGACATTTCATAAGTTAGCACAGGTACTGTACCTTTGGCATGCCTGGTAGAAGTGTCGTAAATATAAATGGTCCGCGTTCCTGAGTAAAGACCGGGCGCACACTGTCAAAGGAGGGGGCATCTGTGCAAAAGGAATGACAGGAGAATGGTCAGTTCATTATTCTTATTACTTTGTTTGAGACCAGACAAATATCTAAAACGTTTTAACATCGTTATTGTATCGTCGGTACAACTCTCATTATAGCAATCATAGTCCCCATCTAAGACGCAATAATAAACCAAAAAGTACCATTGAGACATTTTTGATGAAATCAGTCATCTTTCATCTGCATGCAATTTACGTTTTCTGTCGCAAAATCATGCAATGCTCAAATATACATTTTACACTGATTTTGACAGTACAAAAGGCAGATGTAATTTCAGATGCTTGGTTGCAACTTTTCCTCTTGCAAGCGGCTGTGTGTCGTGCAGCAAAGTGCAAACTTGCAGTTTATAGCCTGACAAAATTTTACCTAATAGAAAAGTGTGGATTAGACTCTGCTATTATTTAAATGCTAACTGAGGCAGCAGTTGGTTTATCACTTCTATTCACTGAACGTTTATGGGGCATTTATGGGCCTCGAGGAAGGCACTTCCAAAAGGAAGGTTATTGTTAATTTTCGCTGACAGCGTTCGCTCCCTGGATTACTCTAGGAAAAAGCCACTATCTTCGGTGGATCTCAAATAGGAATAATGGCTTAAATTCGGAGGTTATGTTTTGGTTAATACTCCAGTAGACAATCACTAATTTAAAACTTGATGATAGGTTTTATAAAACCATTCCACGGCCGCATCTTTGCTTACCATGAGTGTAGAGATCCTCATGTGTTTCATTTACTTTGACAATGAGAGTTTCAAAGAAAGAGACCTCGGGCAAATCAATGTTTACGTGACACTGCTGTGAAGCTAAAAAAACACGGTGCAATACGACGCGTTCTTCAAAGACGGAAAAAGCCAACAAAAGTTATATTCCAACTCCCAGAAATTTGAAGTTTGTTTATTCAGTAGCTGCATTAAGTTGGGTTTTAATCTGTCAGTGACAACATGCATGGAAGGTCAGATAGACTTACAACATTCAACGGGGCAGGAAAATGCAAATGCTATGGATGAATTCAGCTTGCATGTGCCGTTGGCGGCTATGAATACGTCCTCGTCAATGGTGAAGGTCACTTCCTATGCAGTGAGATGAGACAGATTCGGTTAAATAACTGGCCGATAGCATTAACGTAATATGGGAAAGAAGATTGCTGATATTTCCTTTGTAGAAATTGAAGCAAGGCTTACTGAAGTCTGGTTGGAAATTGGCACTTGTAACGAGTATGGGCCAGAAGACTGTGAAATCCCGTATCCTCCGAATGTCATCTTAACAGGATTGTCGCCTAAGTCGTGGAAAGATAGGTTGGAATTTATGGTAATCGAGGAACATCGCACATTGCAATGTGCAATTGATCTGCCTCTTCAAGTTCTTATTTTTGCCTTTTAAGCAGACATGCATATCAGGCTAACGTCCACCAAGCACTCTGTGTTAGGTGTCCGTAAGTGAACTCCTGTGACCTCTGTGAAATGTCTTAGGATTGTCACGGTTCGTGTACTGCAATGGCCTCTGCCCGAAGGAGCCAATGGCATAACCTAGACTGACACTAGCCATCAAGACTGGGTCTTTTATGTGAACAAAGAAGAGGTTACTTTCATGCGACATGTTAAACGTACATAAAGCAGTTAGAATGAGGCTTATGATGAACACCTGCTCTAGAACGTATCACGTTTTGCACACAACATTTAAAGTATTATGTTTCTGTAGGATGCTGAAGAGTATTTCCTCTTCCAGAAGCATATGTTAAAGATTGGCATTGCATTGACAATCCTAGTTCATCTGTGCGAAGACTCAATAAAGCGACCATGGGATAGTATATTTGAAGAACGCGTCTATTTTTTGGGCCAGTTCATTCGCATATTACCAGTTGTATGGGTAAATGTCAACATCGTAGTAGATAGTTGTTCAGTACCTGCAACTGTCTGTTGGTGAAACAGTCCTGATTTAGTTCAAACCTGCCGATCTCCATGCGTGTTTCGTGTTTTATTCATCGTCTTTCCGTGTCTGCATTGTGGTGAAGAACATTTCAGGAAACCGTAAGACCGGTTGTTGACTTATTCGCGCAGGAAGTATGCCTTAGGAAGGCATTCTTATCACCCATAATACTGCTGTTTATTCAAAAGCGGATGACATGCCAGATGCCAGCTCAACTATTTGCTGAGGAAAAGAGCACTCTCTACTCACGCCAGCACGTCGTCTCTGCTCTGGTTTGCATTTAACTTTATTTGCTCCGAATTCGATTCAGCTGAGAAAGCAACCTCCGATGTAGACAAATGTCTTTCCGCTATTTATAAGTCAGTAAATCGACAGGACTTTCTGAGTACCGCAATTGTCAAGGCATCCTACAAGACGAGTAATTCTGAGTCCAGAATGATCAAGGTGAAGCACGGGCCGTAGCTGTTTAAGGGAAGAAATGGTTGTGCATGTACTGGATACATCGAGTTTTTCAAACTACAGTCAGGGTACAAGAATTATAGATTCCTATACGATATTCAGAAGTGACCATATAGCGTTCATAAAATTTAGCAGTGGATTTGAGCCATATTGTTAACTTTACAAGCCACACATGGAAATGCAGAGACGTGACGTTTTATGAACGGGCATTTCACGGTACTAACATATCTCACAATAAAAACCTTTCAGAAAACCCCAACTTCGAGTAAAAAAATTACGAGAACAAGTCATTTTTCACCGACTAAGCAGAGGAGTTGTCAAAATTCCTATGGTTATATTCAGAAGAAAAGGTGGCGAGCGAACGTTGATTTCGTCAACTTCTAGCCAGGCCAGGACAGTAATATGGGACGGTGTACAGTGAGTGAACAAAAGTTTATGGGGGACTGTAATGGGAAAAATGTGTATCCAAACCATTATTGGAGAAAATCGCGTCGTCGTCATACAGTTACTATCACAAATATCCTGAAGGGATACGCAGAGAATCAAATGGAAAATATCCTCTTAAAAATAGAGGAACTTGAGCGCAATGCTTGTCAACGCACAGCCGTCCTAGATATCCTGACAGATGAAGAAAGACAAGAATTCGACATCTATACTCAGACTATAAATGAAAAAACGTGGAAGGACAAAAAAATTCTGCGCTCCTTAGGAGTTCACATGAGATGAAAACCGAGTCGCGGTTTTTGAATGACCCCGCTCGTTCCGAACACAACAATTCTTATATGACACTTGACAAAGCATTAATTGAAGTTTAATCTCTGGGCCCTACGTTTTGCATACCTCGTCCAAGATCAAATCAGTTAGAATTGGAAACTCAGCTCAAGAACCTCTGGAAGCAAACTAACGATATATTGCCCACTTCCACAGACAGTATCCAAAATAGCAAACCAACACCTGGGAATTGCAGCTAAAAGTACCTAAACAAAGGGTCAAGAAGTCGGGGATTGCTGATAAAAGAACTTCGGGAGAACAAAGAGATCTTGGTCACTAGATCTGACAAAATAACGGGTGTCGTTATAATGAACAGATCGGACCACGTAGTGACGATACAGTCCATATGATCTGACCAGAAGAAATTCAGAAATGTAGACAAAGAAAACGATTGCGCAGATAAAGCAGAGGCAAAATTGACTGACCGTTCTAGAAGGCACCACACAGGGGGTTACATAAGTGACCGTGATCTCAAACACCTCGGCTCAGTCGCCACACATTTCCATTGATTATAAGATTCACCTAAGATCCATAACGAATGCCTACCAGTTCGTTTAATTTTAGATTTAAGGAAGTCTCCGTATCATGCAATAACAAAGTGCTTAGCAGAGAAACTCAAGCCTATTCAACATCTGGCAAAGGTATTATACCGTACTCCCGACTTAGATACTTGCTAAAAGCCCAGACACGTGTTTCGCCGATATTCTGCAGCTGCGTGACACAGCTGCGAGGGGTTCGGCTCTTCAGTGGGACCCCCAGCGTTCTCTAGCGGTTTCCGGTATATGAACTCCAGAGAATAATCAGGTGAATAATTTCGGAAATTAATCACTGCAGAACTTGGAGTTGAATCTCCGGGACATGACTTTTTAGGGTCAGAACCGAAATTTCAATGAACATTTGAGTCGAAGACAATCAATTACTGTGGAATAACCACGTAATGCCCATTATACAAACAAGTATTACTACGAGTAGTATGAAATGCATATGGAAAAGGTATTATACCGTACTCCAAGGTCTGCACTGATTAATTTCCGAAATTATTCACCTGATTATTCTCTGGAGTTCATATACCGGAAACCGCTAGAGAACGCTGGGGTCCCACTGAGGAGCCGAACCTCTCGCAGCTGTGTCACGCTGCGGCAGAATATCGACGAAACACGTTTCTGGGCTTTTAGCAAGTATCTACGTCGGGAGTACGGTATAATACCTTTGCTATATGAAATTCATACTACTCGTAGTACTACTTGTTTGTAGAATGGGCATTACGTGGTTATTCCACAGTAGTTGATTGTCTTCGACTCAAATGTTCATTGAAATTTCGGTTCTGACCCTAAAAAGTCATGTCTCGGAGATTTAACTCCAAGTTCTGCAGTGATTAATTTCCGAAATTATTCACCTGACTATACAACATCAGCTGGCAGCACGCAGCTATCCAGATACCTTTCAATACATCGAGGTCGTTAAAGACCTCAACCATTACGGCATGATGTTGTTCTCACTACACGTTGCATCTCTTTTCACAAACGTCCCAGTCACCGAGACAGTTGATGATTAAAGCTGCCAGTCATCAAAAAATAGCCATTCCGACGAAAACACTCAAGGAACTATTACTAAGGTGCACATTAGATGTGCAGTTCTTCTTTGACAACCAACTCCATAGACAAACATATGGCGCAGCTATGGGCTCGTCTCTTGCATCTCTCTTAGCCGACGTCTTCGTGGGCAAGCTGGAGAGATTTCAAATAAGCGAACAGATCAAAAAGCTTAAACATTACAGCCGCTAAAATGATGATATCTTTGTGATTGCAACCACAGAAACCGAAGTTGCTCTCTTCCTAAATGCTGTAAATCGAGCACATTCATCGATCAAATTGACGTTAGAGATGGAATCGGCCGGTTCGCCTCCTTTCTTAGATGTCCATCTAAACAGGAAATGTGACGGTTGCATCCGAAGGAATGCCTATCGGAAGAAAACCTGGCCTGGACAATACACGAAATTCGCTAGTTTCTTACCTCTCCACAAAATGTGAAAACTATTCAGGCGTTCGGTAGAAAGGGCTTAAAACATTTGTTCAGCAAATTATAATGAGGAGGAACTTAGAAAAATCCAGGACTTGCTTCGCCCGCTTTGCTCGCGGACAGTTTATTTAGCACTAGGCCCGCCTACCTCCGTTTCGACAAACAGTCAATGACATAAAAGCACTAAGTAATTCGTCGAATGCTATGTCTTTTAAGTGGTAGGAGGCTAAGTGGTGGACTGGCAGATATGTGAAAATGCGACTTTTTTAAGCGCCTTCATTTGAAGTTGCGAAATGGCAAATTTGATTTCTTTTGTTTAAGTAAATGTCGATTTAGTGCAGTTGTGCCTTCTAATATTGCTTAGCAAATATGTCAGCCTTTCATTTTTAAACACATTGTTTATAATAGTGTCAGATAATTAGGGGTTGTGTTACTGACACGAAATATAAAAATACACAGTTACCGTGCCAGTATATCGTCTGCGTTTGACTATCGCTCTCCGTTCTGCAAACATATCGAGATATATTTGTTGCCGGCGGCCTCTTGGCAACGTAGGTGATGACATACGACTGGTTATCAATGCTCAGTTCTGTGAAAGAGCGAAAATACGGTAGGCAGTTCACGCGGTAGTCGCACTACTCTGTATTTGCACTCCACAAAGTAATGATGATGTAAACTACCCATTTAAATGTTGAATAGCAACACTTACGGCACTTTCCCCACTGAGATGTGGTCGTCACTCCAGAGCACAAAAGTTTCCCATTCAGAAGGCATTCGAGTTTCTGCAAGTAAACCAATATTTGAAATCTTCAATCAATTTTTGGGCTATAACATGCAATTAACTCATTTGAGTATTTTCGAACCACTGATTTGATCACAGGGGCTAACACCAGACAGGCGCGTGCATTCCTCGAAGCTTTGCATTCTTGCACGACCAGCATCAATCGCCACGTATATCTAGAGGCTCACTACGAGGGCTTACGTACACGCTCACTGTCTTGTTCCCACACCGTAACAACTGCTACCCCCCACTTGTCCACACAGACGTATGCTGCTTCGCCATTCCGCCCCCCCCCCCATCCGACACGGGGAACAACAACCGAAACCCCCTAACAACTCCAACGCCGGCGCATTGCCCCCTGACCTCATCCCGAATCAGTGACAAGCCGCCCGCATTCCCACTGATCTGCAACCCCCCGCGTTTTTCTCCACCTCCAACACAGGGAGCCCTAACGGTTCTTCCTTCCCTCCCCCTGCCCGACAGCCTACCATAACTCGGTGCCCACCCCTCTGACGCATCAGCTGTCCGTTTGTCGTTGTCTGTCCTGTCGCGCCAGCCGACTTACTCTGCCCATTTCACCTTGCCTTCTGTTCATTTCGTCTGATGACGGGTCAGTGTCACCAACTTGAAAATTTACGAGTACAACTCGATATTCTGAAGAGACTTCTCTTTTTCATTATATATGAATTTACTTAGTTTCAACAAAAACTTCTGCACCGATCGACTTCAATGCTTGCAGAACTGATGTAAATTGAACTTCCTTTAGAGACGTAGGCACTCTGGGATCCTGTTTGATAATCATTTGCCACTGGCAGATTGATCATTATGTGGTAAGCACAAGATGTTGACTAGCGGGTGAACAAACTAGATCATAGTGCCGACAGACTCGCGCAGCACCTGCCGTACGCTCTCCTTCCTCGCCGGACGGCGAAAACATGTCATGACGATAGATGCCCGATCCAGGTGCTGTGTTTGGGAATATAAAACAACCTGACCAGGCTTGCCACACACGACCTGGTCTCCGCACAACTGACCGTGTTCTGCCTTGATTCTGTATATGATTGTAGAGGTCTTTAATTCTGAACCACCAATCCCTGAAAGAATCACTTCACGCAAAGCCCGTGATGGGGATTGTCCACACCGGATCCAACTGATCGAGCCAGAGTCATTGATTTTAGGGAGGCATTGCCCTCGATATGGATGAAGAACCAGCCGAATCATTGATCATTAGACTTTCTTGGCGTTCCGATTATTGTACGAAATTGTAAGCTATAACAAACCCTGTCACAAACATTCTAGCCACTTCAGTTCCATCTATTTAAACTTCATTACTGAATATGGAGTTCAACGCTCTATTCTTCATTTTAGCTGGTTTGACTGGTGATGTTTCCAGGAATTGTAAACGGCATCACATATTTCAAATACTCGAGTAATGTCCGCCTGGTCAATTTATGATACAGGAGCGTTAGCATCAATAAGTTACTTGTAGAGAAGGTAGACACTTCTGGCATGAAAGACGCACGTTTAGGGAAACATGCACATTTGCTTTTAGAAGTGTGACGCCTAACGGTCGCGCTTCACTTCAGGTTGCCTAACTTGAAAATGCTGATGTCAAATTAACATTCAGGAAAGTGACTGAACGCTTTGAAAATGATAAGTTGAAGGCAGAAAGAGACAAACGTTCAGGGCAGAAGGAAAAATTGGACGAAACGCTAATTCGACCTCATCCGTCCAATCCGCCTAAGCATTTCAAGTTGATGGGGTTAATTTTGACAAGCGTCTACATGCACGGGAACTGGTATAAGAAGCAAGGACTTTGTCTGTGATAGGAAGAGACTAAAGGACAACACGAATACCATCAAAACACATGTGAGTTGACAGTTCAAATGTCAGTTTCGACGACATTCACCGCGGCTTCACAGTTGGTTGAGGGCAGGCACGGTAATTTGCGCATGCCCTTGATTATAAAGGCAGTTGACTTGCACAAAGTCAACTGCATTCCCCTCTCCTTCCCCACCTCAGCGTGGTACCAAGACATAGTTTAGAATTTGGAGGGTGGCGAAGAGCGTAGGTGACTGTCACTTTCGAACCCGCACCTAGGCGTGCCACCAGACTCTGTCTACAACACACACTGAGCAGAGTTTTGTAAGCCAATAAAATATAGCGGAAAATTGCATGAAACCCAAGTTGACACGGTGGCATGCTGCATCTATTCCTGCAGCAACAACCCTGGCCCACAACACACACTGACCGGATTATGGGCTCCAACAAAACAAAAGGACGACGACGCGCAGCTATAACCGGTAGGGGTTCTACAGACTGGGATTACCATCCAAGTCAAATTATGTGGAAGCCCTTGTAGCCCGACTGTTTAACCACCAGTCCGCCACTCCAAATAAACAAATATACTGGGCGGGTGGAAAGATTACATATGAAGTACTTCCTCCAGAAGATGACTGATGACAAAAATGTATCTGTTGCGATAATCCTTAGTTAAACTTGCCCTGAATGACGTCCGGTCGATGATGGACACAAATGCTAGAGCAGAGTATTCAATGAAGTAAAATTATCCGGTACAAATATCGGGAACAAAAAGAAGTGGTGTGGCCGATTTGCTGAAGCTATCTCAAACGGTTACTGTTGGAGGATATGGATAGCAATTTAGAAAAAATCATCCAAATGACAGCCGGCATATGATGGAATATATGACAAGTTTATTTATCAACACGAAAACTCTATGCCATATATTTCACAAAGGGTGGAGAAAACTCTAAAATTGTTTTTCAGAGAAGCCCCATCCCACCCGCCGTGTTCAACAGATATTGTTTCCCCAGGTTGGCATGCGTTTCAGTCGATGAAATATGGCCTTTTCGATCCCCAATTCATATCCTATGAAAAGTCAAACAATGGCTCGATCAGTGTAATGTCATCGGTTTCCTAAACGCTCACTCCATGTATTACACAGACGATGGAGAATGGCTATACCCGCAGGCAGACTAAAATACATTGCATATTTCGGTCTAACTTAGCAGAGTTTGTTTGGAAAGAAAGTACTTAATTAAAGTTCTACTTCCATGGTTCCTTCATCGATGTAAGCAGTTCAAATCCCACGCTACCCAAATCAATGCGAAAAAGCATTATTTATGTCAGAACCGGCGCTCGTGCATGCCTCTAAGACAAGATATTCTCTACGGCGACGACACAGAGTTAAAGCCCGTTGAGAGAAACTGGTACATCATACCTGTTGTTCCGGTGAACCCCTGTAGTTTAGAAGCCACTTTAGCTCAATCACAGAGGCTGCGGACTGCCACGCGTTGTTTTTACCCCGAAAGTCATCCAAACCTACAAAAATAATATATATTTTTAGTATAAAGTTGCATCAGGCGCCGTATGCCTAGGCTGGCTTGCGATCTGTCCACTGTCAGCTTCGATGCGGCCTTTTTGCAGATAAATCATGCAAGCGACTGAGGGGCTACACTTACCGGACCAGTGATGTCGGTAGGAGACCATGTCGAACTGGCCATTCTTCCGATATACGCAGGTATAAAACGACATTCTTTCATCTCCTTGTTTAACTTCATATTTCATAACCGTGCGGTTGTGTTCCGTTTTCAAAACTAATTCATGTAAAAGCGGATTAAACAAATGAATGTCGTAATTCAACGACAGAAAGCGGTGCAAATGAAGTAAATAGGCCACATATTTTAACGAAATAACCCACCGCAAGGGTTTGGATCTCCACAAATCTTCTGGCTATCTGAGTAGCAAAGAAGCTGAAATTTAGACAAAGACACAAGAATCAGAGACGACTTTACCATCAGTTGCCGTCTGCAAAACAATTCTTTGTCCTTCTCACATAAACATGGGCCACACACGAGAAAATGGCACTGAAAATTATGCATAGAACAACGTTGCCGGTGGTACACTTGCAACTGACCACCCGAAGAATTTCATTGTTCCCAGGAGTGGACGCCAACATTGCGAAATTTCTTAAAAGACTCGTTCTTATTTGGTCACTCATAGTTTATCATAGGCCATTTGCATAAACCCTAACAGTCTGTTAGGGTTTTTTGTAATTTTTTACGTGAAACATTGCCAGCCTGCCCACTTTATGTGGATGCAATTCTCCTCCCCTTTCGCGTGGTACACTGAGGTCGCCTTATCGTTTCCGATGGAATTATTAACCAAACATTAGCTGCGCAACACATCAGTCATATAAATTTGTTTCCTGTAGCAGACTGGCAGACTTGAATGACCATTTTGGGCTCATTAGCCGTCGGCAGATAGTCAAAGCCCACCACAAAGTGTGGAGCATTTGGGGCTCGAAATCGCGACCTGTTGGTTAGAAGTCCAACGGTTTTATTCACTGAGCACGGGCTCGTGGTCTTGTCGGTTCCGGTTGGGAATATACAATGACACTCACCATTGCAGTCGCCCTGGTCTTCGTCGCTAATACAGTTCTGCATCGCGAAGCTGTGCGGTTGACGATTGAGGTCGAAAAAGCACATAAGTCACGAAGGCAAATTTGAGTTCCATAGAAACGATCAGTGCGCGTCCACCTACCATTCCTTCGTGTCAATCAACCCATCCAACACTTTGCTAGCGAGAAACGTTTTCAAAGACGGTTCCGGTAAATTGTTTCATTTACTTCACATTGCCAATATTTGCTACATACGAATGTGAACCCTTGGGTAGCTTTCTTTACTGTGAATGTTGTTTTACGCGTACTTCACTGCAGCCCTTTAAGGGGTGTAATAAAGGCATCAAAAATATAAGGAAATTTGGAGCACTACTGCGCATGTTATATTCAACGACGAACGCCCCGGGATCCGCATCGCCTACAGGATGGACGGTCACCTCCTGAATCAACGGCGGATGCACTTGCAATCGCGCGTATCCACAACCACCGTTCACGAACTCCTCTTCGCCGACGACCTCGCCCTAAACACCACCTCGGAAGAGGAGATGCCACGGAGCGTGGACCTGTTCACCGCCGCCTGCGAGAACTTCAGTCTAGTCATTAACACGCAGAAGACGGTGATGATGCACCAACCGCCACCCAACTCGGCCAAAGCCCCCAACGCGCCGCCGCAAATCAGCGTGAATGGGACCCACCTGCAAGTGGTGGACAACTTCCCGTACCTGGGCAGTACTCTCTCCCGTAACACCAAGATCGACGACGAAGTCGCCAACAGGATCTCGAAAGCCAGTCAAGCCTTCGGTCGCCTCCAAAGCACAGTTTGGAATCGCCACGGTCTTCAGCTGAGCACGAAGCTGACGATGTAAAAGGCCGTCATCCTGCCGACACTACTGAATGGAGCGGAGACTTCGACGGTGTACGCAAAGTAGGCTCGTCGTCTGAACCACATTTACCTCAGTTGTCTTCGTCGCATCCTGAGGCTAATGTGGCAGGATCGAATCCCCGACACTGATGTGCTGGATCGGACGGGATTCCTCAGCATCTACGCCATACTGAGGCAAATTCAGCTGCGCTGAAGCGGCCACCTGGTGCGCATGGATGACGAGGGACTACCCAAACGACTCTTCTAACAAGACGTCGCGACGGGTTCTCGTCGTCAATGAGGCCAGATTCGCCGTTACAAGGGTACCCTGAAGTCCTCCCTGAAATGCCTGCAAATCAACCCCACCAACTGTGAGGAGCTCGCACTCGATCGATCCACCTGGAGGAGGACAGTGAAGACAGGCGCTGCGATATACGAAGCCAACCGTATCGCTGTCGCCAAAGCGAAACGTGAAGCCCGCAAATCACAACATTGCTCAGTACGCAACACCGCCGCACAACCGCTTCCAACGTGTCCTCGATGTCAACGAACATTCCGGGCTCGAATCGGACTTGTTGGACATCTGCAGATTAACTGCGCCTCTCGAACGGCACCAAACATCGTCCCCCCGCCTGCCTCTTCCTCCTCCTCTCCGCCGCCACCTAACCCTGTCAATTCTTCTGACCCACCACTTCCATTATCCTCCTCCTCCTGCTTCTCCTCCTCCTTCTCCTCCTCCTCGCCCAATGCTCCATCGGCGGCCGCTCAGGCGACTGTCCCGCGCACAGCAACCGACACTACCACCACCTCCCCCGACTCCAGGGATGAGGATCAGGACTACACCTGCCCTCACTGCGACCGTACCTTCACCTCACACATCGGCATGGTCGGTCACTTGCGAATCCATCGCACAGAAAATGCCGAACCAGTGCCTGGAGCACCCACCTATACCCAGCAAGCTCGTCTCAACTGCCCACACTGTCCTCGCACTTTCAGGCATCGCATGAGCCTATTCAGCCACATGCGCATCCAAGACGACCTGCGGTGGACAACCGCCGGCCACACCACACATTCACTCACTCCCTACCTCCTCCTCCTCCACCACCACCATCACCCCACCAGAAATCAACACTCACACACCTCATGCACCCAACTGCCACCTCCCACGCAAGTGGGTAGTCCGCATCTCGACTCGGTCCCCATGCGGCTTTGGCTGCACGGGTGACTTGAGTCCGAGACTATCCCGACACGTCAAGCGTCATGGATAGGAAGGTTGCTGATTGACGCCCGCTTTCGGTTCACGCAGTTCGTCGCGTTGTGCGTTTGTTGTTTGGAGATGCGGACTGGTGGGCCGGGAACGGGCTGAAACAGCATCTTCCACGGTACTCTCACGCACGCCGTTCTACCCCCATTGTGTGAAAT